GGGTAGGGAGGGGGGCAGAGGGTTGCTAGTGTGGCCTCAGGTCTCTTACCCACTTCCATCCTCTCCACTGCAACAGCAGGAAGCCAGCATGACAGAGATGTCAAAGAGGTGTTAAAGATAAAAACGCAACCTCTCTCAAAACATGTATAGCTTGACACACTAACAACCACACACACCTGTGCTGAGGTCTCTGCCTGTTAGGGACTCCAGGATAGTGTTCATGGCTCCCATGTAGAATATGAGGCGCAGCTGAGTGACACACATGGTGATAAGGCTCAGCAAGAAGATGGGACTGAAGATACTCTTCATGAAGCTCTGAGCTGCAGAGGAAATGAGAGAAGTCAGGGTGAGATCAAATCACTGTGTTAATATACCACAAAGATATTGGATAAGGAGATTTTATTTCCTTCTGTACACAGTTGAAATCTCGTGGTAGGGGAATTATTCAGTGGAAAAACCAAAAAGCTTCACAGGCCTTTAGGGAAACATCCAAATCCTTTTATGGAGCAGAAAGTTCTATAATCTGTTTTTATGACACTGCCTGCATCAGAAGATGTTTGCAAAATCAACTTTATCTGTGCACGATGTAGGGAACACTAAGAGCAAAAGTCAAGGACTAAGATCAACTGTTCATTGCTTTTGGGACATGATAATCAGTTTTCAAAAAAGCATTTAATGGCTCTTAAGTGTTCAGTGGTAGAAAAAAATCATAAAATATATGAGGCCTAAGTTGTGGTACACTGAGGATGACTTTAGGCACAGCAGTGCTTTGAGATAAAAGTCTAACATGACTGTGCTTATAAGTTGTACTGTTTACCACTTTATGAAAATAATTTACTGCGCTAGCAGGGATGCACTAAAATCCTGAGCCAATACCAAGAGATGTATTTACTATATTTGTTTCTTTTCTCATTGCTATTCATATCATATCAGTCAACTAGGCCAGTATCAGTCAATATCGACCTATATCAGGCTCTAAGTTCATTGCTGGTTCGCGGAGTGTTAATGTTAGCATTCAAATGTTTGCTAATCAAACAGGAGCACAGCTGAGGCTGATGTGATGTTCATTAGTTCTGAATGTACCGGACTGACTGATATGTTGGCCTGTTTTTACAAGTCTTTACAATTCATCCTGGCAGGATTACGACGTCTGCCAAATTTCATGACAATCACTACAATGGATGAGTAGGTAGTTCACTGCAGCCGAAGATGTCAGACTGCTGTAACAGCGATTGTGACGTTTACAACAAGATTTCCAGGAAACTGATTTTTTTTTTAAAGAAAAAAAGATTGCTCATTTCAATAAAAATAGCAACGTACGAGTGTATTCATAGCATCCTGACAAACAACCTACATGATGATGACCTTGTTTGAAGCCTCCACGATCAGCACCAACAAACTTTCATCTAAAGTACAGATGGTCAAACATGCAGAGTCTCTTTTCACTTTCTAAACAGATGGAAAACTCCACTGGCTGAGAGGAACGGATGAGACTGACATGTAAATTTTCCCACTGGCACCCAGGTGTTATGGTGACATCTTAATGTGAATGAACGTCTGGAGGATTCAAAGGAAAGCGGGTTCTAGGAAACGTTGATCATTAATGAATGCTGTGGATAGAAGTGGAAAATGGACAGCTGTCCATACAGAGAAACCCCGGACACACCAACTAATGATGGGTACCCAGATGAAGCAGATGGGTTCATTGTCTTCAACAACAGGTATCTATCCTGGACTTAATTGTTTGAAAATGCTCATCGAGCACTAAAATAATTTATAAGAGAATACAGATGTTAATGTAAAACTAGCTTATATTTCATTTCAACATTTACAACATCTACCAATATATTTACAAAAAGTTCTTTGGTCTTCATTCTCTGTCTACAGCTCTACTTAACATACCAAACTAGTGCTGACTGTGCCGGTCCAGATACATGATTTAAGTGCATTCCTAACAGAAAACACAAACATTTGAATCCGACCTTGATCCTTATATCTGAGGAGGCAGGAGGAATAGGCCAAGGCCTAAGATGCATGTACTCTGCAACCCTCACAGCTGCTTCAACTTACAGCAAACAGAGAGAGGAACAAGTTTGTGTGCGAGGGTGTAATATGGGCCTCTTTAAACATCCCGACATGTCCAGCTGTTATGAAACCAGCCACGGGCATCCTGAATGCACTCCAAACACACACACAGTCAGAAATTCACTGTAATGGCTGATACAGTCCACCGCAGTGCTTCTCTAGGGCTCCCTGCCAGCGCGACACACACCTGCTGAGCCCCTTTCTAAGAACAGGGTCTGAACCGATTCCACGGTCCGTTTGGTACCAAAGAGACCGAGAGAGGTGTGACAAGACTAACCCACTGGGAGTCCCTGACCCTGTTAGGAAAGCCAGGAGGGACTGAAAAAGTGCATGGGTAACAGAGGTTACCTTAGCATGGATGTGATATTTTTTTGCCAGCCAACCTAAAACACTACATACAGTGTTATCACATTTTAAAAATGTAAAAACTAACAGAAGTGCTAACCTTTTTTTTTTAAATTTCACACTTTTAAACTTCATTTGAAATACATTATTGTTAAATATTCTATGTAAATAATATTCATTGCCAAAATAAATTACAAAATTTTAAGTATATTAATAAGTCTATTGTCTATATTTTAACTTGGATTTATGATTCAAAGCACACAGTAAGGACATTAAGTTAATTTGTAAAAGTTATATAACACTACACTATAACAACGGAGTTCAAGTCTTTACTTTTCATATCAGTGGGATTTATTTTATTTATGTGGGATTCCACTTGGCATCAGTCCTTTCAAAGAGAAGAGATACACTTTTATAACACACTTAGCACCTCTTTTGCTCAGTTCGTTTTAAGTCTAACTGCACCAACTGACTGACTTTTGAGTTGTGAGAATATTCATAAGCTAGTATCTACTCAAGAATGACTAATTTGATCACAAGGTACACTTGTGCTGACTTGTGCATGTTTTTGGATTTCTTCCTCTTACAGACAGCAGTTATATTCTGT